CTTCTCATTGAACGTGCTTTTTTATTTTTCAATGTTTATGTTCATGATAGTGCGTTACTTTTTTGTTGTTATTATTAACTACTTTTAAATCTTACGTGACATGCCGTTGTGGCTGGATAAAAGTTTGTGTTTATTTTTAAAAACACCTTCGTTTGGTAGGTAGGAATATAGCTATGAACAAGTACGTACTAGTAATATTAGTTATTTTGTTATTAGTTTATTATTAGTATCTATGTATTATGTATTACCAGTTAAATAGTAAAATAAATACATATAATGATAAATTAACTGTGGATTATTTCATTTACGTTGCGTTACGTGGCTTCCGTGTGGGTAGCTCGCTGTTTATTCCAAAATTAACAAAGTAGCTCAACACATTGAGAGGTTGGCGACCACTGGTATAACAGGTGACAAGTGTACCTAAATTTGACAATTGACAGCAGACAAATGACAGACTGACACAAAACAATATGACAAGTAGAGTGTTCGAGTTATTTTCTATTTTTTTCCAGAAGTTTTCTTTTTGGGACAAGATGCCGTTTATAAACAATCGATTCAATATTAAATTTAACTTGTATGATCGGTTTTCGATAGAAAAACACTGAATAAATTAACTAATTTGTATTATATGAACCTAAAACATAAAATTTCGTTATCTCTATTGATATCAATCAGATAAGAATATATCACTTGACTGCACATGAAACAGACATTGCAAATGTATGCATGAAACAGTCACGAACGTCGTTCGTATCTAAGATTAATAGATTGACAATTATTGTATATGCAAATCAGACAAACAGATTGTTCTGTACACGCATAATTTATAGAAAATTATTGTTATGAGGGCAAATGAAAATATAGAATGGAAATAAATAGGGAATAATGTTAATATCAGCTGTCTGTATTTTTCCTTCATCGCGTCAGTGTTGTTATATAAGAATTAGCTGATGGTGAGTAGGATAGCAATAGAAAACTAATTTTAGAACGTTTTTGGTAGGTTTAAAATTTTTAATTTTATTTTAATATTTTTTTTTTGGAAAATAAGTTGGTTTCTATTCAAAAATGACAAGCATTTTTTGACAAAAATTATAAGGACCAGTAATTGGTTGCAAATAATCCAGTTATACCACAAGAATAAATAATAACCAGAAGGATATCTCTCATTTAATTCCTTTGTATAGTCTATTTTTATGTAAGAGAAGTATTAAAATAATAAAGCGTTAGTAATCCATAGGCGTATGACTTCTTTTAGTAGATAGTTAAAATATTTTTTGAAGTTATTCCTCGAATATACACTTATATTTTCACCTAGTTAACCTGCTTATAACTTCTAAACAGCTGAAGGTAAAACAGTGCAATTTTTTCTAAAATGTTTATTTTTCCACAAGGTATGTTAAGAACATTGTGTCAAACGGGTCATGTAGGTATAAGGGTTTAAACTTTAACTTTTAAACAACGTTACGTTCATAAATAATAATTTTAATATAAAAACTACTTCTTACCTACAAATCCAAATCAGAAGATGAACTGTCGCAACCAATATTTACAATGAGTGGCTCGATCATTTCATCAGTAATATTGTCCAACTTCCACATTTTCTCTTCTTCTTTAATCGTATGATTTACTGCCTTTTCCCAGTTTTCAGGCTTCACATTATTTACAGCCTCCAAAAACAACTGTTTAACATCACTCATTTTAAAAGAATTATTTTTTCTTGAAACTTCTCCCTTTATCTGTGCCCGTATCAGTTCAATCGGGTTTACTCCGCAATGATATGGTGGTGATCTAACCACCGTCGTCCCACGATTTTTTGCAATTTCATCAATTTCATAATTTTTGAATTTTTCTTTATGAAGGGAACACAAATGATACAGTTCATTTCTCACAGAACCGGGATGGAACTTAATATTCTTTGAATTTAGCCAATTCTGTAAATCTTTTTTTAACCACTTGGTTGTGGGCATTTTTTCTATAAGTCTCGAGTGATAACTTGCATTATCCATTACTATTATACAGTTCTGAGGAAGAAGATCTATAATTTGTTCTAACCACTCTTTAAAGACATCAGCATTCATGTCCTCATGGTAGTCACCGGTACGAGTAGATTCAAAAGTCAATAAACCACCTTTAACAAAACCGTTTGAACTACCGATGTGTACTATTATTAGTCTGCGCCCCTTTCCTGATGGTGGATTTAAATCAGTAGATAAATTATTTAAAAAAAGCCCGTTTTCGACTTGTAACAGTTTCATCTTGCCAAAATTTATTTGGTTTATGTCCCTCGTTGATCCATGTTTCATCTAAATAAAATATATTTCTTCTTTGGTTTCTCATTTCTTTTATAGTCCTTAGGTAATTTCTTCTCCATACTACAATATCGCTTCTTTCTATTAAAATAGACTTTCTGGAATGCTTTTTTCATAGAAAACCTATTTCTTTTAAAAGTTTCCATAGTGTGCTTCGACTCATTTCAGGGTAATTCTTATCATCTCGAACCATGGCAAGAACTTTGTCTACTGTCGGAAATTCTTTTCTAAAGAAGAACGCATGTACTTTCCTTCGAAGTCTTTCTTTCAAAAGATTTTCTAATTGAAATTTTGGTTTTCCTGGAGCTTTACGTGCTGTTTGAAACTCGCCACATTTCTCTTTAACAACTCTATAAATCGTAGATTTCCCAACACCAAGCGTACTACTAACTAATTCCACTGTGTCATCAACACTTTTACATAAATGTTTGTCTGTAAATGATTTAAAACAATTAAATATTAATGTTTTTTCATTAACTGTTAAAGGACCGATTTTTTGTCGTTTACGCGGCCCTTCCAAATTTTCCATGATCACACTAGAATTCACACTGCACCTTGCAAGTTGCAACTAAACGACATTTAGTAAACTGTCAAGAATACACAACTTGGACCTCCTTACTAAATGGAAAACCTATAATCGCATTTTCGGTGAAATTTGTTGGGAAGGTATTTATCTACTTATAATTCGATTACTGTAAGAAATTCTTGGAATTAAAATAAAACAAAATTGGCAAATATGTACTTATTGAAAATAATCTTAAGATACGGCTATGTAATCTTTAATACATAGGGCTTCTGGCCTGTCCAAACCTTTTTCTATTGTTCTGTACAGCTTATGTTTATAAAGGACCAATAAAAGACCCAAAACTTGTAATAGCTCAGGTACATTTATTACAATTTTAGGAAATATTTAGATTATTCTGTAAAAATATTTAAAATGACCGTACTAAGTTTTGCATTAGAAATGCTGTTTTATTACTCACCACCATATCATTGCGAAGTAAACCCGATTGAACTGATATGGGCACAGATAAAGGGAGAAGTTCCAAGAAAAAATAATTCTTTTAAAATGAGTGATGTTAAACAGTTGTCTTTGGAGGCTGTAAATAATGTGAAGCCTGAAAACTGGGAAAAGGCAGTAAATCATACGATTAAAGAAGAAGAGAAAATGTGGAAGTTGGACAATATTACTGATGAAATGATCGAGCCACTCATTGTAAATATTGGTTGCGACAGTTCATCTTCTGATTTCGATTCTGATTTGGATTTGTAGGTAAGAAGTAATTTTTATATTAAAATTATTATTTATAAACGTAACGTTGTTTAAAAGTCAAAGTTTAAACCCTTATACCTACATAACCCATTTGACACAATGTTCTCAACATACCTTGTGAAAAAATTGCACTTTTTTACCTTCAGCTGTTTAGAAGTTATAAGCAGGTTAATTAGGTGAAAATATAAGTGTATACTCGAGGAAAAACTTCAAAAAATATTTTAACTGTCCACTAAAAAAAGTGGTACGCCTATGGATTACGAATGCTTTATTATTTTAATACTCTCTCATACATAAAAATAGACTATAGTAGGATGCAATTTTTCTTTATTTTCAGTGCGTCTGCCCATATTGGTGCACCATATAGTAGCACTGAATGAGCTACTCCACTTAGCATTGCTTTCTTACTACTATTTGAGCCTCCGATCCTAGGCATCAAGCGTTTAAGTTTTCTGGGAGGTTATAAATTAGCCAATCAAATTTTAGGAGTCGTTATGACGATGTTTAAAAACTATATTGGCGCGCGTTTCAAATTTACTTCCAATTTTTTGGAAATTTCAAAAAAATTTCTAGAAAAAAAATATTTTTATATTAGATCTTGAGACAGTTTGTAGAAAAAAATATTTTTGAATTTCACTTAACACGCCCGTTGTAATAATAATTGTAATTAATACTCTTGAAAACCACTTACCATTCATCTATTAACAAAGTTTTAATGTAAATATTTTCTAAACCATAAAAACCCTTGATAAACTTTAACTAATTACAGAACGTGTAAACTATCGTAAATAGACAAACGTAGTTATAGTCTAAGATACGAAGTAAGGGCGACCTTCACCCATCTGTTTAATGGATGAAAGTTTCTTTTTATTACATAAAATATATTTATAAATATACCGCAAATGGGTTGCCTAAGAAAATATGGTCCAGACTAGTTTTTTCTTAAAGTAAAAAAAAACGACACCCTGTAAAGTATTCCCCAGATGCTTAAACTATGCCCAAACTTTAGTCAGCTCACCGCAGGATGGATTAAAGCTTAAGTTTAAAATTTGGTGTTTTTCTCTTTATCCGTTTTTGAGTTATCTTCAAAATTCGAAATTTGCACATTTCCTCAAATATCTCGAATTAGGTTCATTTTAGGAAAATCATGTATAGAAACAAAATAATAGATAATGACATCATAAACAACTTTTATCATGATTTTTATACTTTACTTTTCTGTACACAAAAAGGAAAGTAAAAAATGGCCGTGACCGTATTTTCTTAGGCAACCCATTTGCGGTATATTTAAAAACATATTTTATTTAATAAAAAATAAGTTTTATCTATTAAACAGATGGGTGAAGGTCGACCCTACTTACGGATCCTGGACTATTATGTGTTCAATACAATTAACCACAAACTAATGTTCGTTACAGGAGTTCCAGTCCTCCCCAATGGACATGGGATTGCGTCAATCAGCGATGCGAAAGGCGGTTCATAAAAGAACCAGTTAAGGCCGTATCATTGCCGACATGCAGCATGCTTTGCGGATCGACCCAGCTGTGGCCGCAACCAACAGGACCTGTAACTTTAGGAAGCAAAGCTCTCAAGTTCAATCATAATCAATTTATATTCGAAACAGAAATTGCTGGACCAGTAAAAGCATATTTAGAAGAAGCATTTACTTCATTTAACAACAACATTGTTAGCTTGATAGAAAGAACGGACTATACGAAAGATAAAACAGATTTATCTGAATTTTTAATCAAAGTCACTATACAGAATCCTACAATTGTTAAATTAGAACTAAAAACTGACGAAAGTTATAACTTAATCATAAAATCCTTAAAAGACACTATTAGAGCCAATATAACAGCAAATACCTATTTTGGAGCGCGTTGCGCTCTTGAAACCCTTTCGCAACTAATTTGGTGGGATCCCTACAGCAATGGCGGCGGTATGCTTAAAGTTATTAAAGGCGCCACTGTACAAGACAAACCAGCATTCGCTTATAGAGGATTAATGATCGATACATCCAGAAATTTCATGTCAATAGAGAGTCTTAAAAGAGTACTAGTTGGAATGGCTTCAAACAAACTAAATGTTTTTCACTGGCATGTTAGCGACAGTCAAAGTTTTCCTTTGGTTATTCCTAGCCTTCCTTTAATGGCTAAAACTGGATCGTATGGACCAGAAATGACGTATAGTCCTGAGGAAGTAAAAGGTCTGGTGGAATTTGCAAGGATAAGAGGCATTCGGGTTCTTTTGGAGGTTGATACGCCAGCTCATGTTGGAAATGGTTGGGCTTGGGGACCAACAGAAGGTATGTAATGAAAATATTTTAATTTGTATAATCTAAACATTACGCGAGAATGACAATATTATTTATGACCGAGGATACAGAGACTCGACTGGTTTATGCCAAAATATAGGCACAGCTTATACAATACAGCTAAAACACTCTCTTGGCGGCAACGGTTTGCGTCGATTTCGTCGCGCATCGCTTAAGCTCCGCCTTCGAAGGGAAAAGACGGTTTTGGCGTTCAGAAGCGTACTTAGGCAAGGTGTTGAGTCGTGCGTATAATTTCGTTGATTGTATAATTTCGTGGAGCCTATAATTTCGTTGATTTTGTTTGAGTTAAAGGTACTGTTATTATTTTGGTGACTCTTTAGCTGTGAGTAGAATGAGTTTGTGCAGTCAGAAGCTGTTTTAATAAGGGTTATACCTGCAAGAAAACATTCTTTAGTTTTCCCAAGGACCCAAACCGATAAGTACTACATTATAAGAAATTTTCATTGTTAAAAATATAATTTATACAGGGTGTCTCATTAGTGCGTTATTGTTCATTATTTTGTTGTAGACATTCAAGAAAGTTTTAAATAAAAGTTATATGGATTTGAAAAATACCTACATATTTTAAAAATATCTTTGGATATACAGGGTGTCACGTTTTTGCCTGGAAAATTAAAATGTATGTTTTTTAAATGGAACACCTTGTATTTTATTTTATGATGAAATTATTAACACCCTAAATTATTGTAAAGACGAATTGCTACAGAAAAATTTTATCAGGTATGTGTGTGGTTACCTTTTAATAAAAGCCTTGCGGATCCACTCCTGCGATACCTGTCTTAAATATAACAAAGATCACGTTGAATTAGACGATTTTTCTTTTTATTGCTTTTAAAAGGCATATGATAACGCCAATTTAGATACATTTGGAAATCTGCAACTGTCAAATGATGAATTTGTAGAACTAATATTCAATATTGAAAAGATATTTTAAAATAATTTTGAAGAATTGGCTACAAAAAATAACATTTGTACCACACTTTTAGAATTAATTAACCCAATACCCTTTAGTCATCCATGCTAACGTTTTCCAAAAGAATAACTTATTTTATTGTATGTTTAATCTCAATAACTAAAAAATATACTGACAATTAGTTTGACAGAATTGTCATTTATTTAAAATTTTAAAAATAATAGCAGTCGGTTGATCAAAATATGAACGGTGATTGGCGAATTTATTTTTTTTTGCAGTGTTCTCACTACCTAGAATGGATATGAAATATATTCGTTCAATTGAAGGCAATAGCATACTTTTTCGTTTTGTAATCTGTGCATGGATATTAGCCAATCTACGCACATACTACAAAACGAAAAATTATGTTATTGCGTTCAACTACGAATATATTTCATATCCATTTTAGGTAGTGAGAACACTTTAACAAAATTAAATCTACAAATCACAGTTCATATTTTGGTCACCCAACTCCTATTATTTAAAATTTTTTAAATAAGTGATAATTCTGTTAAACTAATTGTCAATATATATTTTAGTTATTGATATTAAATATACATTAAAATTTTTGTGTAGACTCGATAAATAATAGCATTTTTGTTTTTATTATGTCCACATTTAAAAAAAAATAAATTTTAATCAAACTACATGATACTAATTTAATTACGAGTATTAAAACTAAAGTCCTGAAAGTTTCGGTGAAAATGAGGACAGAACATCTGCCTTCCATGCGAAAAGCCCGGGATCGAATCTAGGCCGAGGACTAATTAATTTTTCATGTTTATTTTATTTTATAAATTAGTCAACTTCGTAAATTATTTTAAAATTAGTTATTTTGTCTAAATAACCTAAAATAATTTTTTAAATTTGTAGATTTTCGTTAGTGGGTCGTAGAAAAAATATACTGACCATATCGAGTGGATTGTTCATATCACAATCAGACGATTGAGTACTCCGCCTACGACGTCGTGCTCAAACTTCGTCTTTGTGTTATATGGCTATCATATCCACCCTTGTTGAACAAACTACAATTTATTTGTTTTCTTGGTTTAAGTTTTACATCAGAAATAAGAACTAAATTAATTTACTTTTCAAGTTTTCTTGTAAAAATCGATATTACTTTCTCCAAGTACAAATTTAGTACCTACCTAAAATAAGTACTAATTATGTAATATCGTGTAATATTGTAATTCAAATTTCACATTACTATAAAGTTTCAAAATTCCCTACTTCGGTATGGTCAGATAAAAATTGAATATATTATATTAATAAAAACTGTTAAATTATTACTTCTACAAATCTGTATTTCAATTAATAAGAATACATCTAAATATAACCAATATTGTTAAAATAAAAGCACAAATTCTTTATAATTCCAAAATACCATAGAGTTCCCAGACCTCAGTCGAAGCATTCGTTTATCTAGGTATAAACCCTTTGCGCGAAGAGTAACACTTGCCAGAGACACGGGGTACCACTTGATTTGCATCCACGAGCGTGACACATTTCTTTAACAATTGAAGCCCTTGGTGTAAAAAGGATCCAAGCCACAATTTGTCGTGAAGTGACTGTTTTAGCTCAAAACATTTGTTAACGAGGATTTTACTAGCCACATACAAATTATTTTACCTCTAATCCGAAAGATGTGCTATTTTTCGTAATATTTATATTTAAATAATTTTTTTAATTATATTTGACAGATTTAAAACAAATTAAAAATTTAATTTCCCAAAACTTACTTAACATGGCATGTAACCAACCTTATTACGTCAAGGTTTTCAATTTTTTCAATAATAAAAAAATTGCTTAATCCGGGCCCGACTTTTCCCTTTAATCTAACAGAGATAGCACCATTCCGTCTTGCTTGGTTCTCGACCGCCAGATCAAAGACGCCGACACGGAGTTGTGGAGCTGTATTGTATAAGCTGTGATATAGGTCTAAACGTTTTTATTCCACATTTCTTATCAAATGGTCAACGGTAACTGACAGCACAACAGGCTAACGAATCTCGTTTGGACACCGACTAGGTGGGTAGTCGAAGCAGTGTTTAGTTGATTACAAAATAAGTTCAGATCCTTACGGAATGTAGTTCCTAACAGTTATACATGTGAAACATTATCAAACCTATTCCAAGTATCATGTGCAATTTCAAATGCATTCTTTCCAGCTATAACCGAAAACGGTCCAGAAGACGATGTATTCTCCAATCGTGTTTTAGAACTCATTTAATAGTCTTACAGTCTCATAGATTTCCTTCTAGAAGTTTTTAACCTGTAGACTGGCGACGGGTTATCTACTTTAGGTGCAGGCTCTTGAAATAGACTAGAGGGTTTATTCAGGAATATATTGTTGTCTCTTATTCCTGCAGCCCTCTTCTTCAAACTGTTTTTAATGACACCCAAAGAACGTATATGATCCAGGAAGCGCTGTTTTACAGTGAGAAGCAACGCCCTGTTAAGAGTGTGATGCTGCTGTCGAAGTTTTTTAGCAATTTTTCTAATCTTTTCCGTAAAAGGTCTATTGGTAGAAAGAAATTCCAAAACACTTTGTATATGTGATGCCTGCTGCCTAGCCAGGTTAATTTTGTTGGCGATTTGCTGAATTCGTTATTAAGTGCTAATATGTCTACATTTTCTGGAAGTTCCTCTCGTAGCTTTGTGTAATATCTTCTTCTTATTATTATTATTAATTAAAGAAATATAATTATTAAAGTTGTGGAAGGGCTTTTTCAGTGTTAGATATTTTTCCATTCTAATTTAACTCATGATACAATATTTTTATTCAATATTTAATAGGTATTACATTATACAGGGTATCCCAAATTATGTTAAACGAAGTTTAAGTCTTTCTATATTGTTTTGATCACATAATTATTTTGAATAAGTGAAAATACATACATTAACTATTTCATTACAGGTTTAGGAGAACTGGCAGTATGTATTAACGAACGTCCTTGGAGTATGTATTGTGGAGAACCACCCTGTGGTCAACTTAATCCTGAAAATCCTCATGTCTATGATATCTTAGAAAAACTGTACAAAGATCTCCTGGATTTGAGCGGTGAAACAGAAATTTTCCATTTAGGAGGCGACGAAGTAAATTTAGAATGTTGGTCTCAACATATTCAGCGTACAAGCACCGTTTACAATTATACAGATCTTCATGAGTTGTGGGGAGATTTTACCATCAAAGCCCTAAATAGACTAACAGCAGCTAACGGTGGAACAAAGTTTCCATATGTTATATTGTGGTCTAGCAAACTAACCAAACGACCTTATCTTATGAAATATTTGGATAAAAATCAAGTTGTGGTACAGAACTGGGGAGCAAGTCAATGGTCTGATACTCCAGATCTACTATCCGATGGTTACAAAGTGATTATTTCTCATGTGGATGCTTGGTACTTAGACTGTGGTTTTGGTCGGTAAGTAAGTTTTTTCTTACCTTCTTCTCATCATTTTAATCCATTTACCATATTTTAATTTGGGTATACAAGTCGAATATTCCAGATTGTAAACAATTTGATTTTTTTTATCAAACATTAGGCAGAGCGCTTTGACTTCTACAAAGCCATCATCATATCCATCATCTAATAAATACCACAACTGGCAGTCTTAAATAAAATAAACATTGAAGTGAATTTTATGAGTTGGCGGGAAGGTTAAAATTACAAATACCTCTTCTATATCCATTCTTCTTTAACAAATTAAACAATTTTTCAGTTGGAGAGAAACAGGTGAAGCAGCTTGTGATCCCTACCGTCCTTGGCAAACAGTTTACAATCATAGACCGTGGCAACAGCAGCATCTAGATAAGAAATTGATTCTCGGAGGCGAAGCTTGCCTTTGGAGTGAACAATTCGATGAAGGTTCCCTTGACGCTCGTCTATGGCCCAGAGCTGCTGCATTTGCAGAGAGAATGTGGAATGATCCTCAACTTGACATGAATACGTTTGGAATTCAAGAAGATGTCTACACACGATTAAATACTCAAAGAGATAGGTATGTATTTTAAGTCTTTTTTATTATAAAACTATTTCTAACTTAGATAACTCAATCAAGGATACACACTTTTTATTATTTAAAAGTTACATAAAGGCATGAAACATTTATATTTATTTGTGTAAAAGAAAGGTGTTGTGCTTTCTTGACTTTCTATATGTTAATCTATTTATTGTCTCTTTGGGGGCTGGAAGGTCCTCACATCCTGTTGGTACTGCGGCGTTGCCGAACTTTGGTATAAATCCGAACATATTCCTCCCCTTGAATGAATCCAGTTCGATCAAAGTCCCATTAAAGACGAACAAAAATATAACATAATATAAATTAAATAGTTTTTTTATACTGGTAAAACACATATTTTTGTTATCAAACGTTTAATCAGACCATCACGAGTACTATATTGTCCTTTCCTGGATAAAGTCGAACTACTCTACCCAGAGACCAATCTTGAGAAAATGATTTCTCTCCTTGAATTAAAACTAGTGATCCAATTTTTAAACTTGTCTGGGACTATTTCTGGTACAGATGAAATCCTTTGTAGGGTATTTGGGACCAAAATCTAAGAGTGTTAAGGGTGTTCACTACATCCCCCTTTTTTCAAAAATCCTCCAAGAGTAAACTTGATATTTTTTAGTGCAATAAAATTCACATAGTTTATAGGATATTCAATTTTGAAAATTTTAAGGTATATGACGTTGCCCCCCGCAACCCCAAAAATTAAAAAAAAAATAATTTTATTAAAAATTTTAAAAAATATGAAAAAATGTTTTAAGTAATTTTGATAGAGATTTGTAAAATAAATACAAAAATGTATATTTCGTTTCCCCACTTACCCCC